GAGAGAGAGACAGGGAGGGAGGGAGAGGGAGAGAGGGAGAGAGGGGGGGATTCTCCGAAACCACCCACGTGGGATCACCGGCGTCTGCTGCGCGCTCAGCCAATGGGAGCAGAGTCCGGGGGATCTATTGACAGCGGAGGACCAATCAGAGAGCGAGCTGCCGGGCGGGGTGCCGCCCACCGCGCACAGAGAGTATAAAGAGAGAGAGCGAGAGCCTGCAGCAGCACAGACTCTCTCACCCTCAGACGGACTAACTGTCGGTAACGGACTCTGGACCGAGCTGGATTATTGTTGGGACTTTATTCCGGAACAGTAACGGACAGTAACGGACAGTAACGGACAGTAACGGACAGTAACGGACAGTAACGGACTCTGGATATTTCTCTTTATTCTGGATTATTTCACTCACTTCAACATGACTCTGGAGGAGCTGGTTGGGTCCAACAGCACCGACATAAAGTAAGTTATTACCGGAGAGCCGGTTCTGTTACCAGCTGTGCACATCGTACAGCTTTCTGTGAGTGTGTGTGTGCGTGCTGTGCGTGCTGTGCGGGGCTCTGTCTCTAACCGCCTCTGTGCTCTGCAGGATGGAGACGGTGAGTCAGGCTCTGGAGGAGTTGCTGGTCGTGGCTCAGCGGAAGGACTGTCTCACGGTGGGAGTGTACGAGTCCGCCAAACTCATGAATGTGTAAGTATGACTTTTATTTCCCGCACATTCCCGCACCTTGTATCATAACTCAGCTCTTCCGTGAGCCTGTGTGGCGCTGACGTTAACCCGGTTCTGTCCTCGGTTCTGCAGAGACCCGGACAGCGTGGTCCTGTGCGTGCTCGCCACCGATGAGGAGGATGAAGGTGACATCGCGCTGCAGATCCACTTCACGCTGCTGCAGGCTTTCTGCTGCGACAACGACATCAACATCGTGCGGGTGTCCGGCATGAGGCGGCTGGCCCAGCTGCTGGAGGAGGACACCGGGGACAGCAGCGGCAACGAGCCCCGCGACCTGCACTGCATCCTGGTCACTGTAAGTCCCACCTCCCGCTGCTCCTCCCGGAGGACAGATAATAAGAGTTAGAAGAAATGTAGAAAAAGTATCCGAGTACTTGTGATGAATTTGCACAAGTGAAAATATTTCTAAAAATCAACAAATACAAAATTAATATGATCCTTAATAAACACAGTTGGTGACGTCATAAATAAATAATAATAATAATAATAGCAATGTTTCCTGTTGCAGAACCCCCCCGTGCAGCCGCTGCAGTGTCCCGCTCTACAGAACATCAGCAGCTTCTGTGAGGAGAGTCGCTGCAGGAACCAGTGGGTCCCCAGTCTGGACCTGCAGGACCGCTGAACCGGGTCCAGTCAGACCGCTTGTGGAGCGGTGAGAACGAGTGGAAACAGTCCAAACAGCCGGCCTCCTTCTGGAGAGGAACCGCGGCGTTTGAGTTGAGACCGGACCGAGACTGGACCGAGACCGGACCGAGCCCGGAGCCTCTTCCTGCTGCCTGATGGGCCGATACCGGAGGGGGAGGGGGAGGGCGCGTGGACGGGTTCTGGAAGCCGGACCCGGCCTCCCGTTAGAGGATCCGGGTCCTGGAGCTGCAGAGGCAGAATGAACTGAGCTGCACCTGAAGGACTTCCTGCTCACCTGAGCTCAGGTGGCGCTACAGTGACGTCATGTTTTATTATTTCCTGTTTGTGACACGATGGAGTGACATCACAGCCGAGTATTTAAAGGAACAGTAATATATGTGATCAGCTGTTTATTGAACCTGTTGATTGATCAATAAATTATTGACGGAGAAATTATTGATTTCTGAGTGTTTTGTGTGAGTGTGTGACAACATTTAACAAGAGAAAAGATTAAAAGTGTTTTTACACACATTTTGCTGAAACCCAGCGACTGATGTTTGTCCACATGAGCACCCTTACTTCTGACTGATGCAGCATTAGCATTAATAATCAGCTGATTGGACAATAAAGAGGTTATTGAGGATCCTGACTCCGCCCACAGTCAGACTGTCCCACACTGTTCTGGTTTCCAGGTCCTGTTCTCTTCAGTTCTCTTCAGTTCTCTTCAGTTCAGATTCTGACAGAAGTTCTCAGACACTTTCAGTAGAGCCGCTTCTCCTGCAGGTCCTGTGGAGTTTCTGCTTCCAGTCAGCTGTTGGTGAAACTGAAACTGGACCTGTCGGTTTACTTTAAGACCACAGAGGTGTGTGTGTGGGGGGGGGGTCCCTGTCGTACATGTGAACACTATCTGCAGTGTTGTTGTATTAACAATACATTGAGTCACTCTCAGTTCTGTAGAAATCTGTCAAACAAACCTTCAGAGATAAAATAAATGTTTCTACTCGGACTGTTAAAAGTGTGTGTGTGTGTGTGTGTGTGTGGAGGTCGGAGGTCACGCTGGGGGCTGAGGAGCTCGGACAGGTGAGGAGGTGCCAGCAGCTGCACCTCCTGTAGTTTCAGAATAAAAGCACACAGAAACAAAAGGAAGGTCAGACCACTGATTTATTGAATCAGGTTGAACCATTAAAACGTATTAATGTGTAAATCTGTTCAACCATTTCACTTTCATTTCTGTCTGCGTTCACTTTACAATCAGCTAACGAGGTACAACATGTATGTTTTTGCAGGATTTCAGGATTTCTGTCCCGACATGGCGGATTAAAGGAGAGCGGCTCGTTACTGGTTCCTCAGGGGTTCCTCAGGGGTTCCTCAGGGGTTCCTCTGGGGTTCCTCTGGGGTTCCTGATCTTTGAAGGTTATTTGTTGCCCCTGTGGTGTTTTTCTTTGAACGTGTTGAATATTTCTGCGTACACAGAGTCCTTCCAGCTGTGTGTGTGTCTTTGAGTGTGTGTGTGTGTGAAGCACAAACAGCCTCCAGCCTCGGCCCCTGATGTCACATCCTGATGTCACATCCTGTTGTAACGGGGACTCCGCCGCTCGGCTGACGCCACAGGTCTGTTTGTTTTGGCAGCCAGCCCGTCCCTGGGGCGGACGGGGCCACGGCTCCTCTGGCAGCTCGAAACAGACGCAGTCCTGAGCCTTTAATGTTAACACCCACATTCACACACACTCTCAGACCGTCATGGAGACTTTGTGACGGCGGCCACCCGTCAACGCTTTCACACTTTGTGAAGTTTCACTTTAGAGTCCTGACACTGTTAGCGGATTATTGTGACTGAATGGAAACGCTCACGGCTCCAGTCAGCAGAGATTTCTAGTTCCCGCCACTCAGAGAGCTTCGGTTACTGTTAGCCACAGTTAGCTGCAGCTACATTAACAGCTGGAGGACGTCAGTGGAAGAAGCTCCATATGATGTTATTATTATTAATAATATTAATATTATGAATGTAATAATGAGTCCTGATTACAGGACTGACGCACTCTCTCAGGTCTTCACACTCGCTGTTCTCGCAGTGAAAAGCATTATGGGTGTGTGCGGGGATCAGGTTGGTACATTCCTTCCATCAGAGACTGTCAGATTAAACTGATGTCAGATCAGTTCAGTCGGGGTGTGACTGTTTGATGTTAACGTAACCATGACAACGGCTTTTACTAGCTTCGACCACATAGCAATGAGCTCCCGTGTTAACAGTGTCCATAAGTCAGTGTGTAGTTCTGATATATGAACCTGTGTGTGTGTGTGTGTGTGTGTGTGCGCTCTCTTTATACATTCTAATGTTCACTGCTGCCTGCAGGTTCAGTTATTGATAATGATTGATAAAGATCATTCAGCGTGATAATAACCTATAAAAGGATCAGTGTGAGAATGATCTCAGGATAGCAGCTGTATTTTTAACACTGGGGAGGAATATGTGTCACAGTTATTTCTGTTGAGCTGCAGCGTCCACGTACAGCGAGGAGGCCTTCCTGCCCTGCGTCACGTTGCCATGGAAACAGATGGAGCCCGACAATTGGGGCCGAGCAGCCGGTGGGAGCCGCGGTTGAGCCGACCGGCACGTCGACGTGTTACGTAGGGAGATCCTGCTGCAGCGTCACTGACCATGTAAGGCTGCTTCAGGAGCCACGGAGAGCATCAGAGGGATGAGTCACAGAGGAGGAGGAGGAGGAGGAGGAGGAGGAGGAGGAGGAAGCTGTGAGAGGCAGAGATCGCTGCAGCATCACAGAAACACATCAAGCAGCAGAGCAGAAAAAGGACAAAGCTGCAGAATATCACATTTCTGACACTGAGTTCAGGTTATTGAAGGCAGCATGAACAGCATGAACACAGTGCATCCCATAATAATCCCTCTGAATCACAATCAGTCTGCTTCCTCATGTGTACAGTTTCCTGGATAAACAGGCAGATATTGATCCAGTGAACGCTGTCGGACCGAATCCAGCACCGAGCGGTTCGTTAAGGATCAATCTGTCCATCAGAAACTGTCACTGACCTCGAGACTGTGACGTTATTACTGTCGGTCTCTGAGGAGAAAGATAGAAAGATAGAATCTCATAACATTACTGTTGGGTAGTTTCAGCTAACTGCTGTAAAACCTCTCTCTCTCTCTTTCTGTCTGTCTTTTTTTAAAGTTTTTTTTTTTGGGCCTTTATTAGACAGAGACAGCTGGAGACAGACAGCAAAGGGCTGCAGGTCGGATTCGAACCCGGCCGCTGCAACTCCGTTTATGGGTCGCCAGTTCCACTGACTGAGCCAACCAGGCGCCCCCCTCTGCAGGTTTCTGATGGCGACTCCCTGCCGACCGTCCGTCCTGCGTCTGTTGGCTGCAGCGGACGTGTTGTTGGACGGACGGGAAGCTGCAGGAGATTAAAGGTTGACCTTTGACCTTAGACACAAACATTCCTGAATCGTAATCAGAAATATGGAACAAAGCTAACGGTTAGTGTCTGTCTGTCTGTCTGTCTGTCTGTCTGTCTGCACAGCTTGAATAAAGTTTGTGTCTGTTTTCTGACTGGCAGCAACATGAACACACACACAGGAAGTGGTGCAGTGTGTGTGTGTGTGTGTGAAGGGGGGCTGGGGGTATTTACTGAAAGACAAACCAGAGCTTCACTTTCTGTTTTTCTCTTTGAGCAGAACTCTGCTGTTGGATGGAAATACGTTGATGTTCCCGTCAGGATGAACCAGAATAACTTTATTGATCCCTGCAGAACGCGGTGTGGGTCTGGTGTTGGTCGCTGTA